ATGATGTGAAAAGATTCCCTAGTTTTCTTTTTATCCCTTTGTATTCCCCGAATCGGAACGCAAGAATTAAAGCTTCCTCTTTGAAGTTCCAGTAGCTGTAGTGTTTGTTTTCCTAACAGGGTAGGGTTGTTAGCCTCATTCTCCAACCTCCCCTCCTATATCTGGCTAGGCAAGGTTTAGGATTGCGTTGACTGGGTACCGAAGCCGAACCCTAGACGATGACTGGCTGACATTCTACCACTGAACCACCAATATATAATGCGACAAAATACATTCAATATAAATATAACATTTTTAGCGCCCCATTAAAGTTGTCTATAACCTTCGTTCATTATAATGTATTTTCTTACAATAAATCTAATCACTTTCAAAGAAAATGAATACACTTGAAGACAATATCTGATTTATAAGTAATGCAAAGTCATCAATTAAATTTGCATTCACTAAATGTTTCTACTATTTCAAGTTGCCCGCCCCTATTTCAAAGCTTCTCAAGGTCATTGTGTTCAACAGTTTAAACAACGCGCACACATATATATATATACGCATTACATTTAGATGCACTACTAAATCTTACTGATTAATGCCAAAATGATGAATAGAAATTAACACTATTAGGCCACCGACTTTAATGACTGTCGGCATCTTTTTAACGCCTCTTTCATCTTCGTCGATTATTTGTTTTGTTTTCCATTCTTTTTTTTTTATCACTTGGACAGAATTAGGCAATTATCTGAAATTTATTTTTGCTTTTAAACTGTTTGAAAATGTCACATTTAATTATTTTAGATTGCCTCTACATATACATACGTGTTGTATGTCTGTTTGCAAAGCGTATGATAAAAAGGTGTTGATTTGATTAATGTACCCTAAGATGAAACATTTTAGAATACCTAAATATCCTGCATGACAATGAAAGAATGTATTTTTTTTCTTCCTTCAGTTTTGATTAATTTTGCTGTCTGCAATTAAAATAAGGCTGATGTGTTGCTTTTATTATGCAATGGTGTCTATTTTTTTTTAAGTAAGCATATTTTCTTCGCTTTAACTCAGCAGAGCTGATTAATGAGTTTTCAAACCTGAGGTACATATGTCAACGGTTGGGAACATTGCTAATGAGGAAAGATCATCCTGGAGGAATTCTTGTTAATTGCCTATAGTCATCTAGTATTAATCTGAATACATTGCTACCACGTGTCACTGGTTCATTGGTAGAATGCTAACCGACCATGTATGTGGTCTGACGCTAGATCCCCGGTCGACGCACACTTAAACCTTGTCTAGCCGGTAAGGAATCTAATGAAGACGGAAGGTTAGATGTGAGGCTAGCAAGCCCACGCTGTAAAAATAACACCAATGCTACCTAAACTTTAAAGTTCAAGCTTGAAGCCCCATGTTCCACTTGGAACGCAAAGGAATAAACTGATGATAATAATAAATAACGAGTTTCTTAACTCAATGAGTATAATTCATGCTTGTCAACCAACCAGCATCAGTCACTATCAACGGTAGAAATTTGAAAGAGGTTACTTCCTTCACTTATCTGGTCAGGAAGCACGGTTTCAATCACAGGCGGCGGAACGGATGAAGATTTCAAAGGCAGCCAGAATCCGAAAGGCAAGATACGCCTTCATCAACCTGAAACAAGTTTAGAAGTCTTCTGCACTGCACTCAGTCAGCATAAACAACAAGATTCGGATTTTCAAAAAAAATGTTAAGTTAGTCAGTTCTTCGATATGGGTCAGGAACTTGACGCACCCGTCACGAAAAGCATTTCGAACAGGTCACTGCAGGCTTTTATCAACGTCTACCTTCTCTGGCTCTATAGTGAAGTTCGAATGGCCGGCCGGCCAGAAACAGTTAGCAACAAGAAACTCTGGCAACAAATCAACCAAGAAGCTATCGTTCAACAAATATGCAGAAGAAAATGGAGGTGGATTGGGCACACGCTTAGGAGGCTGTCGAATGACATCGCGCTCCAGGCCTTCAAGTAGAACCTGAATGGGAAAAGACGAGTGTGTTGTCTGACGGTGACATGCAGGAGATCGTGTGAGTTGGAGGAGGAGATGAGAGATTATAGGCAGTCGTGGACCCAGCTGAAGAGGACGACAGAAAATAGAACAAAGTGGAGATGTGTTGTTGAAGCCCTATGTTCCACTCGGGAACGATAACACTAGTAATTGTCAACCATTTCAGTATACTAATATGCCTGAACAAGCAGAAAACAAAGTACATAAAGCATATTAAATAAGGGGTACAATTACTGAATATTTAGACAGTGTAAGAAGTGGTAAGGAGAGTGCCTAGTTTTGGTGAACTGTACCCTTATTTTTCCTAGTGCTATCTAAACGTAACCTTTTTTCTCAACAGCTCTTTGGTTTATTGAACTGACAAGTAATCATGGAACATAAAAAAATGATAAACTTTATTTTATTATAGAGAAGATTTGTAGCTCAGGTGGATGATTTGCAATTAGTAGTGTTCTCTGAGCTGGTTGGTTTAGTTGAGGAGCTTTCGTCGTCCTTCTGGACAACATCTTCAGCGCAATTTTTAGCATAAAGTAAAGTGATTTGAATTTTCCATGACTGGTAGAATTGTGTCTCCTGGTAACCATCTTTACATATGTATTGATCATTATAATATTGACTTGGATTTCAAACTTTCTCGTCACATGATTTACTTTTTATTAGTTGGTATATTTGGTCTATATTAACATGTTTGTTTATAATGGACATCAGTTTGATTGGGATAATATCGAAATTTTAGACAGAGGAAAAACCAAAAGTGTCAGGGAATTCCTAGAAGCCCGGTACTCAAATGAATATGCGATTAACAAACATGTTAATATAGACCAAATATACCAACTAATAAAAAGTAAATCATGTGACGAGAAAGTTCAAATTCCAAGTCAATAAAAAATGATCAATACATATGTAAAGATGGTTACCGGGAGACGCAATTCTATCACTCATGGAAAATCCAAATCACTTCACTTTATGCTAAAAATTGTGCTGAAGATGTTGTCCAGAAGGACGACGAAAGCTCTTCAACTAAACCAACCAGCTCAGAGAACACTACTAATTGCAAACCTTATTTTATATTAAGGAAATTCATGATGAATGTTTATACACATAGGCGAGATTTTAATGTTGGCAGTATTTCGTACACACACACTTTGTGAAAACGTTAATTACAAGCTTATTTGTAAAACATTTATTACCATTTTATAATGTACCAACTCTTCATAAAGATGACATAGCTTCCACGTTTATATATAACGGTGCAGTACTACTGACTGATCGATATGAAACATTGGAAACCACTTAAATCAACTAGTAATGGTCGCTAGGCAGATCAAAGTGATTAAAACACTGGGTGGTTATTTCGTTCTTTTGAAGCTCAGTTCATCAGCGGTGGCCCAATCAGTTTGAACTAACTGAATCCCCTCTAGTTCCTTAGGTGAACTGGTAATTCATGGAATCACATTCGCAATTTGTTAAATAAATTCGGCATTTCAAGAAACACTACTGGTTGATGTAGATGGCATATGCTCGCTTTCTTGATTACCACTTATTATTGTCTACCAGCTCATAGGTTACAATCTTAGTAATTTCAGGTTCTGAAAAGAAATTATGGTGAAACTTCACCTCGAGCTGTGTAATTTACAAATTTTGAATTTATTTTCTTTTGTATATTACTAATTTTGATTCATCACATATAAACTTATCAATTCATTTTCCGAAATATTGTCGCTAGATCACTTAGTAGGCTAATAAACTAATTTAAGATAAGCATCAAATGTTAATAAAGCAGGGTTTTTTTAACGAATTCACTAAATTTTTCAGTAGAACTCCTCATGTGAATACTCTGTAAACAGGGTTAAATATATACTATGGGAAATACACGGGAATATATGTGAGTGACAAATAAACTACAGTGAATCAATCAAGCAGAAAGAATAGGGCGAATGTTTTACAGGTAAGCGATTGAATATTAATAATAGATTCGAAAGTTAGATTACAATCGACTACGGTTCACTTATCGTACCATAGTAAACAGTTATCGGAGAGAGGACTTGAAAATGTTAGCAGCTGCAAAAGCGATAATAATAATAATAACAATCAAATCAATAAACCATAAAGCGCTTAGGTTATCCAGCTAAAAAAATTAACCTAATAACTTTTGTCAGGTTGGAAGAAGAGACAATGAAGACAGGACTTCAAATGAATATAGAAAAGATATAGGTGATGAAAAAATCCAAACGAAAACAAGAAGTACTAGTCGCCATCAATGAGAGAAGTCTAAAGGAAGTCGCTTCTTTCACTTTCCTGTCCTGAGCAGAGGGCAAGGATATGGACTTCAAAGCTAGCCAAGATCGGAAAGCAAGACAGGTGTTCACTATTCAATCTACAGTCGATATGGAGATCTTTAGAACTCAGCGCTAGGGAAAAAAGGTTTGAATTCTCAACACTAATATTAAGCTAGCGCTTCTACATTAGTTTAGAGACTTGGTGCATCACCCAAACCATTCCCACTAGTCTGCGGAAGACTTCCATCAGCATCTGCCTTCGCTGACTCCATACTGAAGAACAGAAGACTGGCCAGAACAGCAAAGCAACTATGTATTCTAGCAACGATACAACCAAAAACCTATCTCCCGCAAAAAGTATGCAGAAAGAAATAAGGATGGATAAGCCGTCTAGTGGAACCTATATAGGAAGACACGAATTAAAGGTAAGTCTGACAGTGACATGAGGGAGATCATATGGGTAGCAAATGAGAGCTTATTACCAATCATGAAGCCAGCTAAAAAAAGACTTCACAGAACAGGGTGGAATGACGATGTGCTGCCGAAGCCCATTGTTTCACCAGGAACCCAAGGGACGAATAATAATATAATTATTATTGAAACTTCTGTTATTATTTTAACTACTCTGACTCCTATCTGAGGCGTTATATATACAGCTGAACATAATTATCACATTACCGGCACATCTAATTCATCGGACTTTCCCAGTACCCCCATCGACTATGTCAGATTGTGACAACGGAGACTTCCTCAAAATACACTGTAAATTATATATTGTCAATGAAATTATAACTCCAGTTAAATAAAACAAAAATAACAGCACCTTAGCACTTACCACATCAGCATCTTTTGTCTTAACATCGAATATCTTTTCATTCCATAAAGATTTGTAATATGGAACTTTTTGAAGTGAATAATAATAATGATAACAATAATAGTAATAGTAATAATAACAATAATTATGGTGATTTTGATGATTATCATTAGCAGTAGAACAGCCATTCTTTTTTCCATCCTCCATTGTAACATTGTTCAATGATGATTTGTTTAACTCAATCAAGACATTTGATGAATGTATATTTTCACATGTTGGCGGGATATTAATAATACCCCAATTGGATTTTGTTTTCGACTGTTTAGAATCAAGTTTATGATGACGTCTACGTTTAACTGACTTGTTCAATGTTTGAATATTTATGGAAACAGTTGTATTTTGAGGAGTTTTTGAGTTGGTCTGTTTTGCAGAATCATCTTGGCTGGTGTTACTGTTGATGTTGGTAACTGGAGTTATAAGGACGGGATTACATTTGGTGAAGTTGGAAAGTTTACCACAAGTTATTCTATAAATAAATAAACAAGTGACGAAAAAATTTCAATTTAAAATTTGCAAACTAATTATCGATTTGCAATTTATACAGCTTCTAGGAGAAATTTCACCACACTTTCCTTTGGAAACCCAGATTAATCAAGTCACCACATATGATTGACTTGATTCTATGAATGTCAATCAATAAAGTAGACATAAACGCACGATACTAATTTACTACTGATCAGTTATTATGTGGCCGTGGCCCAAAGAGAGTTAACCGACCTCCCGGTGTTTAGATCACTTCGGTCTGGCTAGCAAGCATCCTCGTTGAAATCAGTGGTTTCCTACTACTCATATTAGTCAGTCAGTAGTATACAGCACTATGCATTTATGATACAGATCCTGGATTGAAGTTTGCCCACGGATTGATATCAGTTAGAGAACCACTGAGAACCAGTTGTTTTTTTCCCAGTTTGGGAGTCATCGGCAGTACGGACGCAATGAGTTTCGAACCCGAAATCTTCCAATTTCAAGGAAAACTCACAGACCATTCAGCTACTGGAACCCGAATCAGCGGTCAGCCCATGAATTCTTTTTTTATTCCTTCACGTTCGCAGTGGAACATAGGGCTTCAAGCTAGAGACTTGAAGTTTTGGTAGCAGTAGTGTTTATTTTTATGGGATGGGGTTGCTAGCCTCATGCCCAACCTTCCTTCTTTACCAGTCTTATTATTGGCTTAGCGAGGTAAAGGAGTGCGTCGGTGGCCAGGGGATCGAACCCCGGACCACATGCGTGGTCGGCAAGCATTCTACCGCTGTGCCACCGGTGCACATGAATTCTAGCATCTACCAATCCATGATTCTAGCGAGACCACCAGCCAGCATCTTAGATTGTTTTGATTCAGCATGAACTAGGGAAGACCACATGTTTTCCTTCATATTAAATTCCTGGAAGAGATTAGTCAAAAAACTACTCTTCCGAGGAAAATTGAAAATTTTCGCATATTTATTGAAGTAAACACTTCTAATAGCTAACAATGTTTACAAAATTAAACTGTGACATTAGAAAAATTTTCTTTGCCACACATACTACTGTCCGGTTTATATGAGTAGTTGAAAGTTGAACATGTTAGGAATAGTGGATCTTGTTAGCGGTGGTATATCGCTTGCTTTCTTCATTTTCATTTATGTTGTCAATTGGATCCCATGTTTTGATCTAGATATTTTTCTGGTTTCTACAGAAAACTGTGGTGAAATTTTACCTCGAAATGTGTAATTCGTAAACTGAGAGTTTGATTCTAAAATTGGTAGTTATTTTTACATCTGTGTGATGCTCTTTACAATTTTCTGTTGAAACCCGATTAAGTTGAAAGCCAGGCTGATAGAATTATGTTTACACAAACAATCAGGAATAGACGTGTGACACTGAGTACAACATAGTGATCAGTAAAAGTACTCAATACTATCCCACATGAGGTCGATCCCAAGGCTGAATAACTCAGTGATCACGTCTCTGACTTTAGCAATGAGTGGCGCAGAAAGTGAGTTCCCTGAAGATTCCAGATACGCCTTGCTGACGAGTGTCGATAGTCTCCGATCATGCAACATCATTTCAGAATGACCCGCGATGGCAATCCTAATAGATTTGTGACCATATTGCAAGCTTGACTGGTAGAATTCAGTTTGCACCAACATCATGAACTAGAAACACGAAAATGGATACTCCCTATTGACCAATCAGTGTAGACACTTATTAATTAGACTGAATTAACTTCCATTATACAACACTAAAATTTATTTATCGTGAACTACAAAGTTAATCCTAAATCAGCTTCTGACAGTTCCTAACCCTGGTTGTATGACAAATTTGTAAAACATTCTGTAATAGGCACTTTCTGTGAGAAAGGTCCAGTTTCACCTCGCGACCTACAAACTCCTAAGCCTTCCCTAGTTTACTAGCCAATAGTAAGTCTGGAAAAGTGGAAAGGTTGAAAGCGAAGCTTGTAGTTCCACCATTAATGACACTTCAAGGCTTGAACTCCTCTGTTCTACTCGAAATACAAAGAATGAAAGAAGAAGTTTAGTTGAAGTATCATTTACGCAAGTAGAAAATGTTCACACTTCATTTTCACGTCTTTATAAGCAGCTATTTAGCTTCTAAGCATACTGCTGACGAAATCGTTTGTAGACAGATTACTAATTTTGTCTGAATAGTTGAAAATACTTTCGATGAAGAATTTTTCTCTAAGTAATTTAGATTAAATACAGTCACGAAATGAAACATTAGAGTTGTATACGGATTTTATTTTCATGATCGTTTTCCGTATATATTAAGTCTACTGTTGCAATGATTGAATCCTTTAAAATATTTAATTGACATACACATGCAACTTGTTTCACAGTTGCTCAACTAACTGAAAATATGTCTAGTAAAGAGATGGACAGGAAAATAACAATTACTAGTTGCATTTTTCTTTTCAGTTATTTTCATTTAAGTCGTTTACATGAAGTCTGACGTAAAGAGAAAAAAGCAAAACAAGTGAGTTGTTTATCACCTGTTCTGTGTTCAGCTTCATAATAATAAGGACTTCAAATCTCTTAAAATCTTGAGACCTGGTAAATATCTCAATGACTGATGAGAGAAATGTATCAACCTAAATCGCCGAAAATCTGTATAATACACATTAAAGATGATAATAAATATGACGACAAGAACTGACAGAGATGTATTAGACAGAGGCAAAGAGAGACAGTAAGAAGTCGTGACCAGAGGAGTCAACCAAATCGGGTAAGAGGACAGGTGCTCGCCGATGATATTGGCTGGTTGTTGCGCCATATATAATGCCAATTCTCAAGATCAGTAATTCATGGGCTATTGGGTAGGTCACCGGTGGCTGAGTGAGCTGCGAACTCGCCTTGTAACCTAAGGGTCCTGAATTTGGACCCGACTGGTAATTGCTGATAAGGAGTCCCGAAATGGGACGAAACAGGTGTCCAGTGCTCCCAGGTTTTCTGATGGTTCTCTAACTGATCAAACTTGTAACCGATCAAATCCCTGCAAACCAACACAAGGGAGGAATTATGTAAGGAGTAGTGATATTCACCATTTCAATGATTATAAGAAATCAATACATCTGCGTTGTTTTGCACAATTTTTGGTATTTTTATAAAGAGATTTCAAACATTCATTCTAATCATCATGAGAACCTCGTGTGGGTCAACCTCCATATATGGGTTGGATGAATAACCAACAGCTAAGGATCAATACTAAGTTTTGGTAGGATCAACCCTTACTGATCTAACATGACCCACTGGAGAAGATGGTGGCATGGCGTATCTGAGTGGGTGTAACATATGTTCCAGCTACTTTGATTCATCAATATTAAAAATCTCGTTGATTGAATTAATACTTAACACCATAACTTAAGTTCACCTATTGTTGAACACCTATAAACGCCTGATACCTCCAACTTCAGCGACCATATCTCGCAGCTGTGAAGTAAAACTGGGTAAATCACTGTCCACTACGTTTATCCCTTATCGGAAAGCCAAATATTTTGTAGACAGGAAATATGATACAACCTGGTAGTCACCAAAAGATGCTCATAAAACCGTGCTGAGATTTCATCAGCAACTCTCCAAATAAACCAACTGGTTATCTTAGCCCGTCACCTAATTATGTATCCTAAAACTACAAGTCTATGCACATTGGTCTTGTGATATTATAATTAATATGACATAAGGAAAGTTTCTGACAAGCACCCACAAATATCAGCTTGAAAATCTCCATTGAATCATAAAAAAGGAAAGACGTTCAACGAAGAGTTAGTATTTTCGGTGATACCATTCTCAAGCTGTACAATTGCATATATATATATATATATATGTATATATATAGTAAATTGTATTACCACTAATGGAATATTTCCAAGGATGTGTCATTAGAATTGCAAACTGAATCCACAGCATTTGAAGTCCTCACACTATGGAACAGGAGATGAACACTCTGAAAAGAATCCTCCACGAAAATGACTACCCAGAACGTTTCATCACAAAATCCATGAAGCCTAAACCACCAAAACCGCCCACACTTTCTGCTTCCAAAACACCTTCTCCATTTGAATCTGTAATTCAGTGGAGACACATCGGCAGATATACTGTGAAACCGCCTGTCCCGCTCACTGAAGAAAGCCTTCTTCGCGGCTGAACTTCGACTAACCTCCTCTTCAAAACCAATGATTCGCATGAACGTGAAGGATAAGCTACCACTGTTGGTCTCATCAATGTGCATCTACAGTTCACTTGCTCCTGTGGAGGTAGGTACGTCGGCTATACTCAGCATACGTTATCCCAACGTATCATCGAACACTTACTCTCGTGGTTTTATCAAGGAGAAAAAAGATCCCCTCCCGAAACTCTATCCTGGAACACCAGGTCGAATCTGGAAACCATGCTAACCCACAAACTAACTTCAAAGTTATCTACAGAATACGTGGGGATCTTACTAAAAGAGTAAGAATCAAACTTCTTCAGACTTCAGAAGCAACATCAATTCACACGTTAGATCCTGAACTCTGCATGCAAAAGAAGTTTGTTCAGTCATAAAATCTACAATGGACCAGATCTATATTAAACATTAGATACGTAATTTTTGTTTTTTAATTAGATTATTTTTTTTCCCTCACCCCCTATTAAATTTCCTCCTGTTACCACTGTGGTTAACTTGGCTGTCGATCAATTTTGATTGAACTGTACTCAGTCCCGTAAATTTACTTATTTATTTTGATTTTAGTTTATACCCGATTAATTCCTTCTACGTTACGTAATCTTTTATTTAAAATTTACAATTCTAATGACACATCTTTGAAAATATTCCTTTTGTTGCCAAGATAATTTACTGTATGTATGCTATTGTACAGCTTGAGAATACTGCCGAATAGAGTAACTCTTCGCTGAACGCCTTTTCTTTAAATGACTCACAAATATATTTTAAGAATATAAAAATAAAACTTGTGCACTGTGGTAGAGTGTAATTCCATTATGGTTAAATTTTGTTTTGATAAAGTCTCACAGTGTTATATAGTAATGTTTACTGATGACGTTCCGAGCACAATTTATTGCTCATAATCATATCAAGGTAATCACACGACTTCCTAAATTCATTTACATAGTTCCATTGTTTTTCACTTGATTTTCACTTGATTTGATTGGTAGTATTATTTTCCATATTTCGGGTATGAGTGATGAATCATTCCTATTGCATGTGTTGGGTGTAGACTCGATGAACCAGGATTCAGTAATCAACCTCTCTCTCCACCTACCTAGATTACTTTTTAGAATG